GTTTAGGGTAATTTTTAGTAAGACTATGAATATGGGCCAGCAGGTGGTGTGATGGTTGAGGCACTGGACTCCCACTGGCCGACCGCAGTTTGGGTCCTGGACCTGGTAGCTTGCTTTCTCACTTACCCTCTGTCTCTCTGTATCTCTCTCTCTCTCTGGTCAAATTAAAATAATAATAAAAATAAATAATTAAAGTAAATAATTATTTTAAAAGACTATAAATACTACATAATGAAGTTTAATAATTTTTAAATTAGCAAATCCATCTAAAATTAGTTTTATATCCTAAGATTGATTTACTGGCTGTTGGTACTGAGACCCAATCTCATTAAGGAAAGAAGAGGTCCATCTGATAGGTCTCCTTCTATTGAAATTGTTAGTTCAGTCCTGTAGTGTTAGGCCGAATTAGCATAATCACCGCCATGTTAGGGAATGCTGGGGAAGTTAGCTTAATCACTACCCTGTTGAGTCTTCAGGGACAGGATGAAGACCAGGAGTCTGGAAACTCACAGATAAGCAGAAAATGGGAGGGCCCAACACCTCTGAGGCAAAGTCATCCAGACCTTTAGCTGAGAGTCCTTATCTAAACCTGAGCAGGTGGTGAAAGCTGGACCTTCGCTTCCCATAACCCCCCTCCTTTGTGTGTGTTACATTCTGTGGAAAATCCTGAACTATAAAAGATCCCTTTATCTTAGGAACGGGGTCCTTGCTAAGGCCCGCTGCAACAGGCAGAAACTCGGACCCCAGCTAGCTGGAAAAAATAAAAGCCTCTTTTGCATCTGCACTGTCATTGTATTTTCTGTGTCTCCATCAGTTAGACCCATCTCTGGACCCTTACAGTAGCTTCTTTTGGTATAGGACATATGTGCTTGCCAGAGAGTGAGGGAAAAGTGAGAAATCAGTCCTGGGGTGATGGCCATGCAGCCAGCAATCCCTTCTCCATTCTCTTCTTGGGATTTTGGGTATACACACACACACACACACACACACACACACATCTGGTGCGATTTTGAAGATGCCCGGCCCAGGACTTGAACCTCTCGGTCAGTCATGTGGGTGGGATTCAGCTGCCTTAATCACCATGCTACCACTTAGCCCAATACCATAATTCTAATTTAACTCCTTGAACCCTTTTGACTGTCTTGACTCATCAAGGTCATAGTATGACCAGGGTCTGCTTAACCAGGCTGACTCCATCTTGTTTAAAATTTAAAAAACTGTTGAAACCAGTAGATGGCATCATGGTTACATAGCTGGACTCCCATGTAGTCAACTGCGGTTCAAGTCCTGGACCTGGTGGCTTAAAACTCATTCTCAAAATCCTGAGAAAGAAGAAGAGATTTCGGAGTGGCCATCCCCCCAGAGGCTGATTTCTCCCTTTTTGTCTCTCTGTCTTTTCAGCAAGCACACACACCCTATAGAAAAAAAATCTCTAAAAAACAAAAAACAAAACACATTTATTTTAGGACCAGCAGGTGGCGTAGTAGTTAAAGTACTAGACTCCATGTAGTTGGCCACAGTTTAAATTCTAGACCTGGCAGCTTGAAACTCATGCCTGCGCTTGTGTGTGCCTGCCTAAAATCCCAAGAGGAGAATAGAGGAGACATACTGCAGCATGGCCACCCCCTGGGGGGGGTGATCTCTCCCTTGCTGTCTCTCTTTCTCTTCAGTAAGTGCACGTGCCCTATAGCAAAAACCTCTCTGAAACAAAAACAAAACCCAAAACAACTGTTTCTCTCTTAGCCTGATGCTCTTTCTGCTTTCGGTTCCTGGACTAGGGGTATAGAGTCCCTTAATATCTCATGAAGTTCTGTACACTTGTTATTATTTGTCAATTACTTTCAAATGCATTTAAGTTGTTTGTTTTTAAGGCACAGTGTGAGACTTAAAAGACCTAGATCTGTGCAGATATGCAGGCAAAAAACTTTAAAGGCTTTAAGATGATTAACTAGGGCATGTCTCTGGAATTTAATTTTCATCCAGTCAAGGGTGAAAGTTCAATCTTTATATTTTAAGTGTACTTATTTCCATTCATGACAGAGAGCTTGTGCATGCTCAAAGGGAGCATTAGAGAGAAAGAGGGAGAGAGAAAGCACCTCCAATGGGACTGGTCACATCGCAATTCTTTTTACTCTGAATCTCCACGCCATCAGGATCCTGAGCTCTTTAGTCTGAACCCAGCCTTAAACCAGTGGGATGGGAATTTGAACCCTGTTAGCCATGTGGGATCCATCCTTACTGCCAACCTGTTTTCTTCTTTGAGTTCCTTATGTCTTTAAACCTAAAATAAAATTTTTATCCCCCTTTTGAATATAAAAGTAGCTATTGCCTTCTTTTTTACTACGTTTTTATTATTTAATTTTTATTTATTCATTTGGAGAGGTTTTTGCTATAGGGTGTGTGTGCTAGCCAGAAAGAGAGAGAGAGACAGAGAGACAGAAAGTGAGAAATCACCCCCCAGGGGGGATGGCCACGCCGCAATCCCTTCTCCTCCATTCTCCTCTCGGGATCTTGGGCACACACGCACACTCACCCAGAGTGAGTTTAAGCCACCGGGTCTGAGACTTGAACCGCAGTCCACTACATGGGAATGCAGAGCCGTTACATAAACTGCTGGTCCCTTTATTATTTTTTAAAGAATTATTTAACTTTATTTATTTATTTTAATTAGACCAGAGAAGGACAGAGCAAGAGAGAGAGAGAACAAGAGGAAGCGAGAGAGAGGGAAAGTGAGAAAGCAAGCCTCCAGGTCCGGGACTGAACCGCAGCGGTCAGCCATGTGGGGGTCCAGTGACCTTAACCACCATGCCACCTGCCTGGCCCCTTTTATTTATTATTAATATTATTTCCAATTTGACTAGAGACAGGGAGAGAAAGAGAGAGGGAGTGGGAAAGTAAAGCAAGCCGCCAGGTCCAGGACTAAAACCGTGGTCGGCATGTGGGTGTCCAGCACCTTAACCAACATGCCAAAGTAGTTCATGCCTTCTAAGTGTGGGTTTGCCTGCTTCCTAATTTTGATGGTGTAGTGGTTTCTTTGCAGGGGGCCCCAACAGTAGGCTGGTCAATCTCTGAAGCCTTAGGTGTGAATTGGCCATGGAGCCCTCAGCAGGGCTGATGGATTAAACTTCGTTCATGAACTCATTCATCATTGACTGCCTTGGCCTTGGTGAGGGCTTTCCTCTATAAAAACATACTTACAATTGTAGTTTACGACTGTGCTGAAACTAAGAACGCCTATTTAGCGATTATTTTTCTTCTGATTTCAGAGAAACTAGCCCATTTGGGGGGCCCCTTAGGACTGAGGCCAACACTGCTTACTGTATCTAACAGGTGAGTCTGCCCTGCTGTGCGTCCACACCGATCTAGAAATTGCAGGGGTGAACAAAACGCAGTGCTTGCCTTCACGGAGCTTACGACCCGGTGAGTGAGAAATAAAAATTATTAGCAGGCGGGTGGTTTAACGCGCGCAGGAGGAAAAGGGGACCAGAACGTGTTGGCCTCTCTGGGAATCTCATTTGAACAGGAACGCTAGCCGCACCAAGAGCCCCGCCCAGCGCAGCGTTCCCGGCAACGTCGCTCCCAGCGTTACGCACTCCGCGGCCTTTGACCCAGACCTCAGAGGGTCTGGAGACGAGCGCCTACGCCGCAACCTCCATTTTGCTTCCTGGCACGTGGCTAGGTTGTTTATCTCTCACTGCCAACCCTTCCCACTTGTCCGGCCGGGTGCTGGCCTTTTCAGTTCACGTGAACAGCAGAGGGGACCTGGTGGCGGGAAGAAGAGCGGGGAGGATCTGCCGAGGCGAGGCGTGGTCAAGGCTTCTCGCGCTGCCCTCACGCGCGCTCTGCGGCCCGGCCTGCGGTCGTCCGCGCTGCCGCCGGCTCTGCCTCCGCCACCGCCACCGCTCCAGCCGCCGCTGCCGGCTGGGGCGGGGAGGGGGGGGTGGGGGCGGGGGCCCGGCGCC